GCTGGGAGTGTGAGGAAACTGTTCTCCCGCATGGGGCTTGCCTTGGGTATTGCCACGGGTGGTGGCTTTGGTGCAGGCACAGTGGTCTTTAGTGAGACTGTTGCTTGGAGAGTAAGCAGGAGTATTATGGGGGATGGATAGACAAGCTGTAGATTCTTGGGCTTTGAATATCAGAGGAGTTTGACCTTGATCCTGTAAGCAATGGGGAGCCATGGAGAACTTTATCAGGAGAGTGACACAAGGAGAGCTGTGCTTCAGGAGACCTGGGCAGCAGAATGAGTTCTGCCCCTTCTGGGGCCCTCATGCCTCTTTACGTAAAACCAGGAGGCTGCACTAGGCGATCAGGGAGGTCATCTTCAGCTCTAAGCTTCTGAGATCAAAGCCTTTCCAGACTTTCCAAACGCCTCATCCTTCCTGCCCCATCTCCTTTTAAATTTTTCTGCCACTCAGTGCTGTGCTGTGGCTGGAACCGCCCCCTGGGGGGACTGTCTGCTGAATGAAGTCTGTGCCTTGGGAGCAATTCTGTTTTATTTTCTTTTTTTCTCTCCCTTTGAAATCGTCAAGGAGAAAAACCAAATCTGTGCCGGCTGCAAGGAGGAGCAACTTGGAAGGGAGCTGGAAATAATGAGATGGGTAATCCAATCCCCTCAGGGTTCCAGAGCGGCGGCTGCAGTCTCGCTCCTGCCAGGGCCGCTTCCTGCCAGAGAGACTTGACTCTGAGCCCCCGAGCTGCTGGAGGGCCCCTGCATGACCAGGCTGGAGGCTCCAGCTGGTTGTGTGAACTGGGGGAGGTTTCTCTGTTCCTTCCAAATCATCTGCTGTCGTCACGATGTGAGTTAGGAGCTTTTCCTCTAAAATAGAGAACGTTGGCTCCTGATTATGCCCTGGGATGGAGGAAGGCAGTGGCTGCAGCATTTCTGATAAATAATATCTCTTTAGACCACTATCTTGTTGCAAAAAGAGTACAAGAGGTTGAGTACAGATGGATTAAAGTTTAAAATAGCACAACCTCTGAGTGAGGTGTCCGGAGGGTCATTGCTCTTGTCTGAGGCATCTGGGCTTGATTCCGGGCTTGATTGCCACATGCCAGCTGTCGTGACCAGAGGCTGCTTACCTCTGGGCCTCCACCCCCTCGTCTACGGGGAAAAGTGGGGGAACACTGGTAGCGCCCACCTTATAGGGGACGCTGTACAGATTATGTGAGATGAGTATCTAAAGAACTCGGCACTGGGCCTGGAGCGAATAATGTGCTCTGGAAGTGCTCACGATTATTATTAAGACTGTTATGGTTCCTAGTAGTGGATGAATAAAAGCAATTTGAAAAATATTTGGAAAGCATTTTTATAACTCTGGGTTGATATGGCAGGGCTGGCATTTGGGGGTGTGATGGCGTCTCAATCAAATTCAAATAGGGCGTGTCACCGGTGTCCCTGTGTGGTGTGGTCCAGTTCACAGAACGGATGTGACCTTGGACAACTTCCTGATCTTGGTTTACACAGAGCTTTGGTTTCTTCATCTTAGTAATAGATGATAATATCCACGTTTTGTGTGTGTATGTGTGGTGTGTGGTCTGTGTGCATGAGTATGTGGTGGGTCAGTGTGTGTAGTGTGGGGGTTATGTGTGTATGAGTATGTGTTTGAGTGTGTGGGGTGTGTGTGATGTGTTTTTCTGTGTGTGTTTGTGTCAGGTGAGACGCCCATTATCACCATAGTTGACATCCTGGGCTAGGAGCCCTTCTAAGGGTAAACAGAAATTTTCTGTATGGATATTGATCTCCTGATGACCTGCATGTGCCAGGAGAATCCGCCCTCAGAGCTTAGATTTCGTCTGGGGAGCTAAGGCAGATGTGACACGCAGCCTGAGGGCGTCTGAGACGAGCTGTAAGCACCACGGCCGGTCAGAGGGGTGCCCGCGGGCCAAGCAGGCCAGATTTCCTGCAGGAGCCGTACCTGACGTGGGCTCTAAAGCAGTGGTTTTAGAACTTTTTTGCTTGCCTACCCTCTAAATGAACTTTTTGGGGAAAAAAGTCTCTTTCACCTCACACATTTTAACTTGACATCTGAAATGTTTCATTGTAAGTTTAAGTAGTTACAAAGGATATAATTTCTGCCATAATGTGAATATTGACCATGTACAATAAAGTTACACTACTCTCTTAAATGTATCAAGTGGAAACTAACATAGCAATTTTTTATTTTGCCTTTTTATTGAAGTTTCATGTACATATATATAGTAGAATGCCCAGATCTTAAGTGTTTAGCTTGGTTCATTTCTACCAGTGTACCTACTGCCCAGATCGAGGTGTGGCATCTCTCCAGCATTCCAGAAGGTGTCTTTGTGCCCCCTCTCAGTCAACACTGCCCCTCGCCCCCCGCAAAGGTGACCATTTCTCTGACCTCCATCACCATAAACTAGTTTTGCACGCTGTCATTTGTTCTGGTTTCTTTCAGTCAACATAAGATCTGTGAGATTCAAGGCTGTCACCACAGGTAGCAGTAGTTCCTCTTTTTCATTGTTGTATAATATTCCATTGAATAAATATCTCACATTTCAAAAAGCTTGACTACTCTTAAGAGACATTTTGGGTTCTTTCTGATTTTTGGCTATAAAGCTACTAGGAGTATTTTTGTCTATATATTTTGGTGGACATAAACACTCATTTCTTTTGGGTATGTATTCATGAGCACAGTTGCTGAGTGATAGGGTAAATACTGTAATACATTGGTATCCATCGCCATCCACCAAAAATTGCCCGTGCAGTCAGAAATTTTACGTTGCTCCTGTCTTTCCTTCCTCAACACATACTTCCCTTCTACTTCTTTCACAGAATTTTCTCTTAATATATTTTTATGCTTGAAACTTTTTAATTGATTACTCTATCGTACTTCTTTTTACCCCAAATATATATGTAAATTAAAATGGACATTTAAAAAATTTCCTCTCACTGTAAAACTTGAAGTATCTTTCTTTTGGATTGATTTATCATTACAATGATCACATACACAATTCATCAAAATAACATCAATATTGGGTCTGGCCTGGTGGCATAGTGGTTAAGTTTATGCACTCTGCTTCAGGGACCAGTGTTCGCCGGTTTGGATCCTGGGTGCAGACCTACACACCGCTCATCAAGCCATGCTGTGCTAGCATCCCATATAGAAGAACTAGAAGGACTCACAAGTAGGATATACAACTATGTACTGGGTCTTTGGGGAGAAAAAAAAAATATTGGCAACACATGTTAGCTCAGGGCCAATCTTCCTCACCAAAAAAAATTAAAAAATAACATCAATATTTTACACATTTGATAAATAATTACTAAACATAATAAGTAAGATAGTGTGGGAAATGCTTCTCATAGTGAGATGGAGGGGTGTTGATGGCTGTCCTTTTCATACTCTGCAGTGCATAAGGACCATCCAGGGATCTTACTAAAATGCAGATTCTGATTCAGAAGGTGTGGGTTGGGACCTGAGGTTCTGTGTGTCTAATAAGCCTGCTGGCAGTGCTGATGCTGCTTGTGTATGGACCACACTTTGAATAGCAACGATTTATGTTCCCAAAGGAAGATTTGCTAACACCAAAATTCTAAATCGTCCATTTTTTTTGGCACCCAGATATCTTGACACTTTGGGGCACTGCACCATAGTCAGATTCTAGATGAAGAAGTTGGTCTTCCTTCTGCGAAGAGGGAGAAGAAACGTTGAGAAGTGGGAGATGGGAAAGGAGAACAGTGGTGCCGTCTAGACTGAAGCACATTCTCAGGCAGGGCAGGAAAGAGTGGGGATGGAAACAGGATCTCAGGCTGATTCCCTTATAACTCTTCCTGCCTGTGTACCCCGGGCAGGGCCTCGTGTACCCCAGGGTAGGGCTGTCCCCTTTCAAGACCGCTTCTCTGAAGGATGCTAAGATGGCGCTGGCCACCGCTGCAGACAGGGGCCCATTTATGCAGGCGGGATTGGACATCTCAAGGACTGGCTGGAATGGTCTGGAGGGTCCACTGCTGGTAAATCCTGAGAAAGTGAGTTCAGGGCCAGGGGCGGATGACCTTGAATCCATGCTAGGGTGTTGGGCTTAATACTCAGGCAGAGGTGGGTCTGGGGTGTTTTGAGTGGAGAGCTGTTGTGAGCAGGGTGCTTTGTGGGGACTCGTCTGTCGAGAAGCTCGTGGGCTGAGAAGGAGTTAACGCATGGGGACAGCAGCAGGGTCAACACTGCCGGCTTGAAGTTGAGGTTGGCTGTGGTCTTTGGAAGTCGCCTGTGATTTATCACCAACTCCCAGCTCTTGAACTTTTGGCCTGGTTGCACAGATCTGGTTTGCTCAGTCAGTATTTCCTGAAGTGTGAGCGACGCTCCCCTAGGGCACCTGAGATGTTTATGCATGGAGCTCAAGGTAACACAAAGTGGAGCACAGACACGGCCTCAAATAAGACTGAAACCCAGGAGCGACCGGTGTCGCTTCTCTGCCCTCTCTTGGCCCTGACTACACCTGGAGACAGTCTTTCTTTAACACCTTGCACGCTCCCATTTTCCTGTTGTTGATAGAGAGCGAGCAGCTGAGGCTTAGGGCCTTGGGTAAGTGACAGTCTCTAGATAGAATTTTACACAATTTTTGTGTGTGTTGAATTAATTTTCTATGTACCAGCATGGTCCTAGTTTCCCCCTTATTGTAGTGACATAAAACTGTTCATTTTAAGTAAGTTCATTTCGGTAAGAAAAGTGAGCCAATTTACTAGATCATATGGAAGAAATAATAGTGTTGGTGGCATGTGGATGTGGCAGAAATCATGGTGGTGACATGTAATGATTCAACTTTGGGAAACATTGGGTTAGACCATGTGGCAAAAACTAGCTGGTGCCAGATCGTGCTGCCAACGCCTGGAGAGGCCCTGGGCGGAGGGGGCTGCTGGAATTGCAGGTCGGCCCGGAGGCACTGGGCCAGCTGTGTGGTCCGCTGCTGTCCCCACCCCCAGCCTAACGCTCGTTGCCTCTGCCCGCAGAGATCCGCACGCAGCTGGCGGAGCAGTTCAAATGCCTGGAGCAGCAATCCGAGTCCCGGCTGCAGCTGCTGCAGGACCTGCAGGAGTTCTTCCGGCGGAAGGCGGAGATCGAGCTCGAGTACTCCCGCAGCCTGGAGAAGCTGGCCGAGCGCTTCTCCTCCAAGATCCGCAGCTCCCGGGAGCACCAGTTCAAGTGAGAAGGGGCCAGGGCTCCGGGCGCTGGGAGGCCGCGCTGGGGTGGGCGGGCGGCGGGCAGCAAAGCAGAAAGGAGGCGAGGACGCGCTGGAGGCAGATGGCCTGCGTGTGAGGCCCTGGGTCTGCAGGGTAACACCTCCCAGGCTCCATCTTCCTGAGTGTAACGGCGGAGAGCAGTCGTTCCTACGCATGAGGAGGCTGTAGGGAATGCTGGAGTCACCCAAGAAAAGCGCTTGTCACAGACAGTAAGCGCTCAATAAATTGTTGCTGCCATTATTATGCCGCCAAGCACCAGACACTGCTAGCCTCCATTTGGGCCAAGGTGACACCCGCCTCCTCTCAGGGCATCCTGGCCCTATCCGGTTCTCTTCTATCTGGGGGTCAGCGAACCCACTTCCGAATTCCTTCAGCACGGTGACCTCAGTGTTTCTTCTCCATAGAGCAGATGCTCAGAGCATTTCTCCTCCTTTCTCCCCTGGAGGACCGGTGCCGAGCTCTTTCCTGGCCTTATTTACTTATTACGAGGCACAAACCCTCCGCGTGCTAGTTTCTCGTATCTCAAGCCCTACGTTTGTGGCGGCTCGGTCCGTTGTGCTAAAATACACATAACATAAAATTTACCATCTTAACCAGTTTTAAGTGTACAGTTCAGTGGCATCAAGCACATTCACACTATTGTGCAACCGTCAGCACCATCCATCTCCAGAACTCTTTTCATCTCCCAAAACTGAAACGCCGGAGCCGTTAAACACTAGCTCCCCAATCCCCCTCCCCCAGCCCTGACACCCCCATTCTACTTGCTGCCTCTGAATTTAAGCACTCTAGGGACCTCATGTAAGTGGAATCATACAGTATTTATTCTTTTGTGACTGGTTTATTTCCCTGAGCATAATGTCCTCAGAGTTCATCCCTATTGTAGCATGGGACAGGATTTCCTTCCTTTTTATGGCTGAATAATATTCCATCGTAGGGATTGACCACATTTTGTTTATCCATTCATCCGTCGATGGACGCTTGGTTTGCTTCCACCTTACTCTCTAATTTTGCATTCTGCTTTGGCCAGGGAGCTCCCTTCCTTTAAACTCCCTTACACCTCTCCTGGTCTGTGCCACAGCACACTCACTTTTGTGCTTTCTTCTCTTGACATTTGGGGGTAAGAAATTGCTTTATTAAAGGGCAAAAATTTATTACCCCTCTGCAAACACCCTGCTTGTTTTTCTGCCCAATCTCATTGATTCAGACTTTCACTGCAGGAGGAGGCTTCGCTTAATCACTTCCTCCCGGGCACTGTCTAGGCTCTTTCTCATACATAATCTCATTTTTCTGATATCTTTTTTGGGGAAAATTGGGATTTTTCAAATGACAAAAGTAAAATGCCCATTGTGTACAATTTATAAAGTACTTAAAAGTAGGAGGGAAAAAAAACCCACTCAGAGTCCTGCCTGCCACCTAGAAGCCACCGGTGCTCACATTTTGGTGCCTTTTCTCGCCTGTCTTGAGAACAACAGCAGTGATGATTTACTGAGCACAACTGAGCGCTTCCTTTGTGCCAGGTGGCTGTCATTACCTCTTCTTTAAGTCGAGGACAGTGAAGACCTGAGGAATCTGCTCATGCCAACATGTCTGGATCAGTCACCGGACAGAGACAGATCTGAGCCTTCACTCTCGTTGTGCCTCCTGGGCCTGAGATAAGGAAGGGCCTGGGTGCAGCCCGAGAGCAGCCCCAGGATGCGGACACTCTCCTAAAGTCGCAGGCGCAGACACATGTGTGGAGGCCCTCGCGACTCAGGCTGAGCTGTCACGCGGGCCATCCGGGGCTGGGAGGTCGGGCTGAGCCTCAGCTCCTGCCGTCTGCTTCCTCTCGGTTTGGAATCAGCTCCTTTCCCATTCTCAGTGTGAACGTGGGGAGACAGGGAAAGGCGGGGCACGGGCTACACAGGCTGCGGTCCCCTGTTCCCTCGCATCGCCTGTAATGAGCTCGGCCAGCCCCTCCCAGGTTCATTAACCAAGGCTACCAGACGGAACAGGAGCCCCAGCTGGCAGTCGGGCCAAGCTCGCTGCTCCACACACTATGAAAGTCTAATTAGGGTGTTGGCCCAGGCCGGTGCAGATGGCGGGCCCTCTGCACCAAGCTAGTGCATCGGCAGAGCCCCCAATGACCGTTGGAGGCAGGAGCCTCTAGGGGATGCCTGGACTTGCCCTTTGACCCTGGCGCCAACCAGTGCTGACCCCTGGCGGCCTCTTCTTTGGACCTCCATGCACAGGGTCTGTGCTGTGCTCTGGCTCCTTCGTCCGGGCTGTCCGGAGAAGGCTTGTCCTGCTGTCTTACAAATACTTCATTTAAGAGTGTTCGTCTGCCTGGTGGCCTCTCAGGGTCTTGAGGGCAGGGCCCAGGTCTTGCCATTTTCTTCTACTGCAGCGGGCCCAGTGCCAGGCAGAGATGGGTGTTTGAATGAGCAGGGGGAAGGGAGGGAGTGAGGGAGGGAGGGGATTTACTTGGTGCGTAAAGTCTGCTCTGGCTGAGAAATTTGGTTCAGAGAGGGACTTGATTTGCCCAAGACATCACAGCAAATTAGTGGCAGAACTGGGATGGGAACTGTCGTAGTCCCTTTGGGCTGCTGTAACAAAGCCCGGTAGACTGGATGGCTTGTAAACAAACCTGTTGCTCACGGTTCTGGAGGCTGGAAGTCGAGATCAGGGCGCCAGCGTGCTCGGGTTCTATGAGAGCCACTGGCACTTTGCAGTTTGCGGTGTCTCACAGGCGGGGAACAGAGAGGGGAAGCAAGCTCTCTGTGACTCTGATAAGGGCACTCATCCCGTTTGTGAGGGCTCCACCGTGGTGACCTCACCCAATCCTAATGCCCTCCTCCCACCATCACGCTGGGGGGAGGTTCAACATAGGACTTTTCGGGGGACACAAACATTCAGTCCACATCAGGAACTCAAGTCTCTTGACTCTAAGTCCAGTGCTCCTCCTTTTGCTCCATGGGCCACGACGACTCTCTAAGGCCCCAGCTATTGCCTGCCCACCTAGGCAACTGAAAAATTGACAGCTGGCCAGGAGGTGCTGTGGCCAGGGCTGGACTCACCTGGGCTGAGTTCCATGTGGCCGGCAATTCAAAGAGGCTCAGATGACAGCCCTGAGGGTTTACCTGGGGCAAGTCGAACGTTTAGAGAAGAGTATCATCTTATGTTTCTTTTCTACCATCACATATTTTTATTCTAACACCTTTTTTCAAAGCGCTCTGACATATTTGCTTTTTTTTTTTTTTTGAGGAAGATTAGTCCTGAGCTAACCACTGCCAATCCTCCTCTTTTTGCTGAGGAAGACTGGCCCTGAGCCAACACCCATGCCCATCTTCCTCTACCCCGCATGTGGGATGCCTACCACAGCATGGCTTTTGCCAAGCGGTGCCATGTCCGCACCTGGGATCCGAACCGGCGAACCTCAGGCTGCAGAGAAGTGGAACGTGCGAACCTAACTGCTGCGCCACAGGGCTGGCCCCTCTCTGCTCTCTTATAATCGTGATGATAACCCAGAGATGCAGAGAGGGAGGCCGTGGTTTTATCTCAAGCCAACTGAGCACAGACAAGCTGCGTGGCTCATTTCACAAAGGACACACAGCGAGCTGTTGAGTGAGAAAACCCAGGGTTCCTGGCTTCCAGCTTGGGCTTCTCTCTCCCAGAAGCCACGTGGGTCATTCATTTATTTGAAATGCGTGTGTTGAGGACCTTATTTTCCTGGACGGTGCGCCGTGCTGAAGACACAGGGATTAATGAGACAGTCCCTGCTCTCAGATACGGTCCCTTCTCTTGAGAGATGAGCACATGGCTTGGGGCTTGCCCGGAGTGGGTGTGGTTGGGGCAGACACCCAACCCTGTGGCCGTGCTCTTCGAACCCCGCCACCTGCTTGCTCCTCAGGCCTGGAAAGCTCCCTTGAGTCTGACCCGGTGCTTCCTCCGTGTGCCCCTGGTGTTCTGTCCTTGTCGATTTGCTTCTTCAGCTGGTGTTTATTGAGTACTGACCAGGGCCAGGCCCCGGCTCACAGTGGTGAATTAGGTCGACTTGGTTCCTGCTGTGGCGGAATTTACCATCTAGTGGAGGAGAGGAATGAAGAATCAAATATGAAAAAACAAGTAAAAGAAAGACAAATTGTCGGAAGTGATTGCTAGGGTGGAAACAAATATAATGCAAAGTGTTCAGGTTCTCTGTTCTACGTAACAGCAACACCCCAGATGTAATGGGTCTCATGCTTTCATGGGTCAAGAATTTGGACAGGGCTCAGCTGGCAGTTTTTCTGCTTTATGTGGCATCAACTGGAATCACTTGGTGCTATTCAGCTGGTGGCAGGGTTGGGCTGGAGGGTCCCAGGTGGCTTCCCCCATGTGCCTGGCGTTTCAGTGGGGATGGCTGGAAGGCTGGGCTCCCCTGGGCTGCCTCCCCCTCCATGAGGTGTCAGGGCCTCTCCACCTGGTGCGTCAGCCAGATGTGGGAGTGCAGACGCAGGAGCTCGGGGCTCAGAGAGAGCTATGGGGAAGCTCAGTCCTCTTCAAGGCCAGGCCTGGAACTGGCGTGGCATCCCCCTCTCAGCGCTAGCTCAGCTGCAAGCGGACAGGAAATGAAGCCCTCCTCTCTTTGGGGAACCGAGAAAGGCTTTGCATCCTCTGTAATCCTCCACACTGAGCTAGAATGGCAGGCAGGGAGGGCTTCCGGCGGAGGAAGTGGCGTTTAAGCTGAGACCTGGGGGATGAGAAGGAGCCGCCCTTCGGGCAGTGGGAGGGGAAGAGAGGCCAGTAGGGCTGGAACTGGTGACTGAGGGCAGAGTGGGAAGCCACTGAGGCATGATAAGTGGGGAGGAGCATGATCTGATTTCTGTTTTTCAAAGAGCACCCTAGTTGGAGGGGACGAGAGACAAGTGGGGTGGGTGGGAACACGGCTCTGCAGGCAGGTGGTGATAATGGCCTGGGTGACGGCGGAGCAGATGATGAGTAGACAGT